TTATATTTAATTCTCACTTTATTTTGTTACTGTATATCAATTAGCATGTTGTAAAAGAATTGTTTGTTACGTGTTGTCGAGGTATAAATCTACCTGATAATTGTAAAATACTATTAGACTAACGAGATTCAGTCTACTGGAGAAGATAATTAATTTGACGCGTCTCAGGGGTACATTAAGTACGCGTGAAGACACGCGCGAAAGGAGGCAAAGGAGTGGAGGTCGGAATAAAGACGAAATCCCCCGTGTGGTCTCGCGGATTCATCCTCTGAGGTGTTTAACGTCCCCGTGTGGCGTGGTCACGCGTTTCGAACCGTTTAATGAAAGGGCGTCGTCGCACTTACCAGCCGACCTCTTCAAGAGCCACGGCTAGAAGGTAAAAGGAAGACGTCGCGTCGCGTCGCGGATAAAGAGAACGGACACGAAGCGCGGGAGAGAGAAAGAACAAGAAGAGAGAACGAGAGTGGAATAATGGTGAAAAGAGAGTGAGAGGGGGGAAGAGAGTAAAAGGCGGTGGGTGGAGCGAACGAGAAAGAGGAAGCACACGCCGCATTCGCACATTCACACTCACCTGGATACGTGCCTCAGGCAATCCAATCTTCTCGGCGAGACGCTCCCGTGCAAACACGTCCGGGTAATGTGTCCGCTCGAATTCTAAAACGAAACCAGTTTGCAACAAGTGCTCGTTATTAAACGTGCCTCCATTTTCGGTCGTTGCCGCGCTTTTGCGACCAACTTTATCTATACGCTAATTCGCAAAAATTACCGAATATGTGAATATCGCACATATTTATGCGATTTTTAACGTTTCATGTCGTATGAAAATAACGATTACATTGACAATGACTGTAGTTAGTTAAGTGTGTCATATACATATGTACTATACAAAGTGGTTTCTCGGATATTATCACCTCGGTTTTCACCGTTATTATTATAGTAAAAAATATGTTGTATGGTCTAGAGAGAGGCACATTCTGGTATTGTGAGCTATTTTGTAGGCGCATAGTAGAAACATCTTTTTAAATGAGATTGTATACCTTTTCCTGCAATGATAGATGAAGCTTTATAATCTCTATAAAAAAGTATTAACCTATTAATATTGATGGAAACACAAGATTCTTTACTCAGAGATTTAAGTATTTTAACATATTCCAACAAATATCGAAAAGACATTAGTTAAAGAGATATCTCGGGAATCGTATTATTAAACCATACTTTGTCGAAGGTTCACCGACTGGACAAAAATATGCACAATTTTTTGACACATACTCTATATGATTTGTCGTTGCATATTCAACAAACAATGTGGCTCCAACAAGATGGTTATCCTGCACGTCATGGACTGAATGGAAGAATAGGAAGATTGTATATTAATCAAGTATTTCCGGATCGCTGGATAAGGCGAGGTTCCATTAATTTTCCGAGAAGCTTGCCTGATTTAACCCCCTCGACTTTTTCTTACTACTTGAAAAATACAGTATACATCTATTGAAGCTCCGATTACAATTTCCGATATGAAAGATCGTATCATTACTAAATGCAACAGTATACCGCTAGATTTATTACATCATGTAAAACAATCATTATTTTCGCGATTCAGAAAATATCGCAATTCGTCATATTGAATCTTTCCTGTGAATAAAGTTATTACGACGGTATCAAAGGAGTTGTGATTTCGTAACAACACTAAAATGCAAATATCTCCTTAATTAATGGTAGTAGGTAATAGTCTTTGTAAAGAATAGATTGTTTCATCGTTCGGTGCAGGAAAAATTATACAATCTCATTTACAAATGTGTTGATGACTTTTCATATCTCTTCTATTATGGTAGCAGCGCGATAAGGCAGGCTGTTAATGTTATCTACAAAATTAGCCAAAAATATGCACTTTTCGTTTATATGTGAGAATATTTTTAGGTCGTCAGGTACCTCTTTGAAAAGAAAAAAGATAAATCTGGCGTGCTCTGGTCATGATTTAATCAGAATATGCTGATATTTAGTAATAAAGACCAGAGCACGCCAGATTTAACTTTCGTCTTTCAAAGAGGTACTTGACGACCCAAAAATCTTTTCATATAAAGACGAAAAGTGTAGTTCACTATTCTTGCCTGGTTATCGATAAGACAGAGCAAAAAACGTCAAAATTTTATCGACAAACGTGAGAAAAGTCACGTGACTACTATAGTCCCTTAAAATTATACAGTATAAAGATTCTTTGCTACGTATAATAATAACGACGAAAATCGAGGTGGTCCTTATGATTGGTCCTTTTAAAAAAGTATATTTGCCACATTTAGCGTATTTCAACTAGTTTAAACATTTCACAGAACATTTCCTACTTTCACGATCGACTGTACACGGATACATTTGCATGCACGCGTGCAGAATTTTTTACTAATCGCGCATAATTTCGATTCACCGTGAGACGAGATTAAAATGATAATTATCGACGACACTCGAACGCAGCGCGATATGAATGGTCACGAATCCAATTAGAGAAGCGCGAGCTGGAGGAGGTCGACGTTGTAGACGCACATACATTTACACTGTCAATCCTAAGTAATTGAATAACTGTCATGCTCATACGACATGAGAGATTTATTAAAGATGAAACAATTTTTACTTTTTTCAGTTCGATGCAAAATGTTTGACAAATGGGTTATTGTATCAATTATTATACCAATTGTTGTATCAATTATTACGTGAAACGTTGTACCAGCATTTATCGTAATCAATGAATTAAAAATTTTATTGCTGTGGTTTTTTGACTTAAACTGTCCTGATACTTTACAATTCGAGGAAAGTGCTAATCTATCTTGACCATCTCTAAATACGCGGCGCTGTGAAGCGGACAAGGAGCAGTGAGCATATGTGCAACATTTTAAGAATAATAGATGTGCATGACAACGTTTCAGCGTTATGAGGCTGATACCCTTAGCTAAATTCGTTTAGACACTAACCTTTCTCGAGACTATCGATCTGTTCGTTCGAGAAGGATGTTCGATTGCGCTGCAGCTTCCGCTTTAGCCTGAGCCGAACCTGCGAGTCCTCGTCGCCAGATGAATTGTGTTCCGAATTCCCATCCGACGTCGTTTCCTGCTGATGCGACAACAAAGAACCGGTGTCTGAAAAAATACACGAGTTTTCCACAGTATTAAAATTAATTTATTCCACTGTGCCCATAATCAGATAATCTAGTATTGATTTCGCGCGAAGGGAAGAAAATTCATGCGTCAGGAAAGGAAATAAGGATGATGCGGTCCATGAAAGAGAGAGAAACATCACGCGGTATTCGAAGTTTCCGCCGTTTGCCTCGAGGAGAGCGATCCAATTAAAGGCGGTCCCTTCCCGGTAGTATCGTTCCAGTGATTTCGCGACGAGTAGAACGTCCTCAGGATTCCTAGGAACAGTGGGAAAAGGGACAGAAAAGGGGCATCCATGTAGACTTCTTTGGATCATAGCTCTCGTATCGGTGCGTACACAGAAAGATGGTCCTCCTCTTCGACGTCGCCGTCGCCGTCGTCGTCGTCGACAGTTCCCGGTGAGCCGCGATTACTTTCCGCTTCCGCGCACCGAACCCTCGCCTCTTTCCATCCCTCTCCCGATACCTTCCTGCCATTTCCCTTTCCCTCTGTCCGTCCCTCCGTACGCTACCTATATATTTGCCCTTACGCTATATATATGTATATGTATTTTCTATGTATACCTATATGTATATCGGCCTCTCGTCAGCTGCTCGCTTTCTCGTTCGCTCATCTCTCGCGCGTCTCCCACCCTCCTACACCCTACGAAATCTCTCGCCCGCTATCCTCCTTTCCCAACCCCCTTCATTCTCTCTTGCCAATTCGAAATACTGCCACCCTGCAACGCTGCTATCCGTAGACTCTACTCGCGTCAACTATTGACAAACTTTCTATTATTATCGAACTCCGGATTTTTTTACAAAATATTTGTAATGACAATCGAAAAAATGAAATTTAGATTGAAATAAAAAATAATTATATTATTTTTTGTTATGTTATCAACATTCTTTATGTTTTTCTGTCTATACAATTTTTCCGAAAAATGCATAGAATCTACAGTCTAATTATTGTATTCAATGAAAATTAGTTACTAAATTACGTGTGCAATTAACATTTTTCACACGTCGCTTGGGAAGCAATTGGGGCTATGGTCGCAGGCCACGATTACCCTGATCCAATGCACGCGTGCAGAATTTTTTACTAATCGCGCATAATTTCGATTCACCGTGAGACGAGATTAAAATGATAATTATCGACGACACTCGAACGCAGCGCGATATGAATGGTCACGAATCCAATTAGAGAAGCGCGAGCTGGAGGAGGTCGACGTTGTAGACGCACATACATTTACACTGTCAATCCTAAGTAATTGAATAACTGTCATGCTCATACGACATGAGAGATTTATTAAAGATGAAACAATTTTTACTTTTTTCAGTTCGATGCAAAATGTTTGACAAATGGGTTATTGTATCAATTATTATACCAATTGTTGTATCAATTATTACGTGAAACGTTGTACCAGCATTTATCGTAATCAATGAATTAAAAATTTTATTGCTGTGGTTTTTTGACTTAAACTGTCCTGATACTTTACAATTCGAGGAAAGTGCTAATCTATCTTGACCATCTCTAAATACGCGGCGCTGTGAAGCGGACAAGGAGCAGTGAGCATATGTGCAACATTTTAAGAATAATAGATGTGCATGACAACGTTTCAGCGTTATGAGGCTGATACCCTTAGCTAAATTCGTTTAGACACTAACCTTTCTCGAGACTATCGATCTGTTCGTTCGAGAAGGATGTTCGATTGCGCTGCAGCTTCCGCTTTAGCCTGAGCCGAACCTGCGAGTCCTCGTCGCCAGATGAATTGTGTTCCGAATTCCCATCCGACGTCGTTTCCTGCTGATGCGACAACAAAGAACCGGTGTCTGAAAAAATACACGAGTTTTCCACAGTATTAAAATTAATTTATTCCACTGTGCCCATAATCAGATAATCTAGTATTGATTTCGCGCGAAGGGAAGAAAATTCATGCGTCAGGAAAGGAAATAAGGATGATGCGGTCCATGAAAGAGAGAGAAACATCACGCGGTATTCGAAGTTTCCGCCGTTTGCCTCGAGGAGAGCGATCCAATTAAAGGCGGTCCCTTCCCGGTAGTATCGTTCCAGTGATTTCGCGACGAGTAGAACGTCCTCAGGATTCCTAGGAACAGTGGGAAAAGGGACAGAAAAGGGGCATCCATGTAGACTTCTTTGGATCATAGCTCTCGTATCGGTGCGTACACAGAAAGATGGTCCTCCTCTTCGACGTCGCCGTCGCCGTCGTCGTCGTCGACAGTTCCCGGTGAGCCGCGATTACTTTCCGCTTCCGCGCACCGAACCCTCGCCTCTTTCCATCCCTCTCCCGATACCTTCCTGCCATTTCCCTTTCCCTCTGTCCGTCCCTCCGTACGCTACCTATATATTTGCCCTTACGCTATATATATGTATATGTATTTTCTATGTATACCTATATGTATATCGGCCTCTCGTCAGCTGCTCGCTTTCTCGTTCGCTCATCTCTCGCGCGTCTCCCACCCTCCTACACCCTACGAAATCTCTCGCCCGCTATCCTCCTTTCCCAACCCCCTTCATTCTCTCTTGCCAATTCGAAATACTGCCACCCTGCAACGCTGCTATCCGTAGACTCTACTCGCGTCAACTATTGACAAACTTTCTATTATTATCGAACTCCGGATTTTTTTACAAAATATTTGTAATGACAATCGAAAAAATGAAATTTAGATTGAAATAAAAAATAATTATATTATTTTTTGTTATGTTATCAACATTCTTTATGTTTTTCTGTCTATACAATTTTTCCGAAAAATGCATAGAATCTACAGTCTAATTATTGTATTCAATGAAAATTAGTTACTAAATTACGTGTGCAATTAACATTTTTCACACGTCGCTTGGGAAGCAATTGGGGCTATGGTCGCAGGCCACGATTACCCTGATCCTATTAGGAACGACGTTTTGATCCAACGACGCGTTTCCTTTTAGTTCGGTGCGAAACGCACGATGGAATTACCAACGCACAATGCGGTTCTCGGAAGGATGATCGTGAGGGCGAAGGCGAGGGTGTCGCGCGTACGAGCAGATTATAATACCTCGAGCTCGAGGGTGTTCCCTTGACTTTTACCTCGGGTTCGAGAGCATTGTGGATCCGCCGATGCTTGGGGAAAAAGTGGATCAAGCATTGAGAGGACCGGATTCCTATATCGTTTGTCTGATTGTGCGGCCTTTCTCGACCGCGTGAAAGGAACCCCTTGGAGCACCGGTGTACCGCTCGACAATTCCGTTTACGTTCGTGTTGCGAACTGTTGAAACAGTTCCATCGAATCTTTTCACGGATTAAGAATTTCAGTTGCTAACCAGGAACGGTGTTTCTTACAACGATAATTAGTTCATTGTTCGATGCATTTATAGAAATTTAAATGTGCAGTTCTAAAGAGTGCATATAACATGTACAGCGAGAATATGTACATATTATATATACATACAGTTAGCAGATAAATATAGATAAGTGCACATTGTATGTGTGTACATAAATGAATACGGAACAAAGTATATAAATGCAAGTTCGTGAATAATGCATTAATCTTTGCATTATGTATATTCCTCACATCTGCACATTAAATCTTTTTATAAGTCCATAAAATGTATAGTCTAGACGCATAGATCTCGGCTGAACAGTTCGTGGAGTTCTCCTCAATGAACTTGCTTCCAGGATTAGGTCAATAGGGACTTCTCGCACGTGTTTAAAAGAAGAATATCGATGAGTGCGGTTTAGGTTTATTAACAACGGTGGCATGGGTGGCATGACGCGTGGGCGGCACGCGTTGCATTTAGCAATTAACGTATATGTAATTGGGACTCACCACTTCGTTTCAGCAGGGAATCGTCGCGACCGTGAAGCTGGCTGGTGGGTAGCAGCGACTGGCCGGAGCCGGGGGTCGCCGCTGTCGGGATTCCGGTGGCCAGAGGATGATGAGAGGGCGTAGCGGAATACCAGGCCGGTGGCCAACCTGCAGCCTGGCCGTTGAACATCCGGAGCTTGTCGTACACGCTCTCTGCGCCCTGATGCGCCTGCACAGCCGCCGCCTGTTGCTCCTTCTGCGAAGCCAGGTTCCTCAGTACCCTGTTGATGGACGATACCTGCAACACGAATTACAAGCAATCTAAATCACTTCTCTTCCTTTCATCTGATCATCAATAATTGTACAAGTAATAAGGGCTAAAAGGAAACGAAATTGTGTGTAAATTAGTTTGATTCGAATGTAAGAGTAACTGACGCATTATTCGAAGCGATTGATTTAGGGGGTAGATTTCGAAAGCGGCGCGATAATAGAATATTAATGGTACCCACTGAATTGACCAAAAAGAGAGGTTTACACCTTTCGATTCACTCAGAGAATCAGGACCACATTCGTTTTACTGTCTAGTTTGAGGTACCATTTTGCCTGAGTGGAGTCGATGCCCTTAAAATAAATGTGTAGTTTGCACGTAATACTTCCTGTTCATTTCTGACTTCGGGATAGGAGTTCGAGCTGCAATAATCGGAGGGTATATTACTAGATAGAAGTTTATGATCCTGGAAACTGAGAAGACTCGAGGAGAATATTTTTACACAGATTTGTCAGCTTCTTTATTCGCAACAATCATTCCATGGTTAGATACACGTCGGTTATCTTTCACCGCGGCCAGCACTCCCGCCCCGGTTCTCTTTGGCGACCTTCACGGTGAGGGAGAGACTAGCAGATGAAAGGACACCGCCATCCAATTATTATTACATAAAACGGTTTCCATGGCTCTTCGCTCCCCTAACCAGGACGGCGCAACGGCGCGGTCTTCTTCACCTTGTACCGCGACCAAACCACTGGCTAACTCTAAAGTTATAACGAGCCACGGGGGCGAGCCTCGTGCTCTCGACTCTCGTACATAATAGTCTCGGTGTTCTACGCGCGCTCGAGCCACCCACCCTACCTTCCTGCGCAACCCCATCCCCGGAACCCATCGACTCGGTGCAACTAGCAGCAGCAGCAGCAGCAGCAGCGAGAGCCGAACACTTCTCCTATGGAACCTTGGCCGGTGGCTGTGGAGGATATCGAGCGAAGCTTCTTAATTACGGGGTTTCGCTGAAAGGTTCATCGAAAGAAAGAGAGAAAGGGTAGAAGCGCAAAAGCCGATCCTTCTCGCGTGGCTCGACTTAAGAAATAATGGCTGAACGCTGCGCCGCTCCCCGCGCCCCCGTGTCGGGTGCCAACGACGTTGTTTGGCCTCGAGTGGTTCGCGTGTACATATCACGGGGATCAAGAATACGAGAGAGGGGTTCGCGTTATTACGCTGCATAAAAGCCGATAAATTCAATCACGCTTTTTGTTTCCCGCCTCGATGGGATCGGTCTCGAGTCGACACTCAAGCGAGTAACCTTAGCTTTGTAATATAACCAAACACGATTAACGCGATGGCAATCGAACCTTTAAGTGACGTGCAAATAAAATATGTAACAAGAGTCACTCTACGAGAAACGATATACAGAGTGAAACCTGAAAACATTGTGTTAGGACTGTTAGGTCCTTTTTTCTTTCAAACTTCGAAGTTGCGTGTATAAAAAGAAATGTTTTCTGAATCTCGACAAATTACGAATTCCTGCAGGATTATCAGAATTTTGTTGAATAATCGATTGAGTCTACGATCTGTAGTAGAATTCCATACACCGAGCGGTTCTTAGAGAATTACGCAAACCGTCGCGACCAATCCGATTGCAAACAAACGAAACTCGGTGTAATGCGGAGCGAAGAACCAGCGCGTTCCTTAACCAGAATCAATCCGACGGGAGGAAGGGCGGGTTTCAGCGTGGAAAGTTCGTATCGCAAGATTCGTCTCAATCCTGCGGAATAATGGCGGCGGGTAGAGAGAACGGAAAGGACGTTTTCGAGACTAACTGCATACAGCGTCGATAGATAGAGAGGGAGAGAGGCGAGCGCAGGCCAGGGCTCTAGGCTTTCCATCATCAAACCAAGCAACCTGGCTGCTCTACGCTCCGCTCCACTCGGCTCTCGCCGCACAACAGCCGCAGCACCGATGCAGACCATTACACGCGCGACCGGACACGAATAATTGTGCAACACGCTTAACTGATCCCATTCACCCTGATTCTACCCGCTTCCATCCGTTCGTCGGCGACTAACCCCGTCGCACCCCATTGCCGCGGACGATATGTACCCACCGCAACAGCCAACGCTACCGGCCACCGTCATCGTCATTGCTGTCATTACCGTTAACGTCGATCCCGTACCCGTTCTGCGAGACGACCGTCGTCATTGATAGTGGACCAATCATGAAGGACACCATCATCACTTGTTCAATTATTACATTTAACAGACCGTATTCTAACTCAAACTTTCTAGTTAAACAGTTTTAATTTTGGAAGAAAGCCGGTCCGAAATAGTTAAAGAAAGAATGATTAGAATTTATATTTAAGAATATAATTTAAGAATATTAATGGTACCCACTGAATTGACCAAAAAGAGAGGTTTACACCTTTCGATTCACTCAGAGAATCAGGACCACATTCGTTTTACTGTCTAGTTTGAGGTACCATTTTGCCTGAGTGGAGTCGATGCCCTTAAAATAAATGTGTAGTTTGCACGTAATACTTCCTGTTCATTTCTGACTTCGGGATAGGAGTTCGAGCTGCAATAATCGGAGGGTATATTACTAGATAGAAGTTTATGATCCTGGAAACTGAGAAGACTCGAGGAGAATATTTTTACACAGATTTGTCAGCTTCTTTATTCGCAACAATCATTCCATGGTTAGATACACGTCGGTTATCTTTCACCGCGGCCAGCACTCCCGCCCCGGTTCTCTTTGGCGACCTTCACGGTGAGGGAGAGACTAGCAGATGAAAGGACACCGCCATCCAATTATTATTACATAAAACGGTTTCCATGGCTCTTCGCTCCCCTAACCAGGACGGCGCAACGGCGCGGTCTTCTTCACCTTGTACCGCGACCAAACCACTGGCTAACTCTAAAGTTATAACGAGCCACGGGGGCGAGCCTCGTGCTCTCGACTCTCGTACATAATAGTCTCGGTGTTCTACGCGCGCTCGAGCCACCCACCCTACCTTCCTGCGCAACCCCATCCCCGGAACCCATCGACTCGGTGCAACTAGCAGCAGCAGCAGCAGCAGCAGCGAGAGCCGAACACTTCTCCTATGGAACCTTGGCCGGTGGCTGTGGAGGATATCGAGCGAAGCTTCTTAATTACGGGGTTTCGCTGAAAGGTTCATCGAAAGAAAGAGAGAAAGGGTAGAAGCGCAAAAGCCGATCCTTCTCGCGTGGCTCGACTTAAGAAATAATGGCTGAACGCTGCGCCGCTCCCCGCGCCCCCGTGTCGGGTGCCAACGACGTTGTTTGGCCTCGAGTGGTTCGCGTGTACATATCACGGGGATCAAGAATACGAGAGAGGGGTTCGCGTTATTACGCTGCATAAAAGCCGATAAATTCAATCACGCTTTTTGTTTCCCGCCTCGATGGGATCGGTCTCGAGTCGACACTCAAGCGAGTAACCTTAGCTTTGTAATATAACCAAACACGATTAACGCGATGGCAATCGAACCTTTAAGTGACGTGCAAATAAAATATGTAACAAGAGTCACTCTACGAGAAACGATATACAGAGTGAAACCTGAAAACATTGTGTTAGGACTGTTAGGTCCTTTTTTCTTTCAAACTTCGAAGTTGCGTGTATAAAAAGAAATGTTTTCTGAATCTCGACAAATTACGAATTCCTGCAGGATTATCAGAATTTTGTTGAATAATCGATTGAGTCTACGATCTGTAGTAGAATTCCATACACCGAGCGGTTCTTAGAGAATTACGCAAACCGTCGCGACCAATCCGATTGCAAACAAACGAAACTCGGTGTAATGCGGAGCGAAGAACCAGCGCGTTCCTTAACCAGAATCAATCCGACGGGAGGAAGGGCGGGTTTCAGCGTGGAAAGTTCGTATCGCAAGATTCGTCTCAATCCTGCGGAATAATGGCGGCGGGTAGAGAGAACGGAAAGGACGTTTTCGAGACTAACTGCATACAGCGTCGATAGATAGAGAGGGAGAGAGGCGAGCGCAGGCCAGGGCTCTAGGCTTTCCATCATCAAACCAAGCAACCTGGCTGCTCTACGCTCCGCTCCACTCGGCTCTCGCCGCACAACAGCCGCAGCACCGATGCAGACCATTACACGCGCGACCGGACACGAATAATTGTGCAACACGCTTAACTGATCCCATTCACCCTGATTCTACCCGCTTCCATCCGTTCGTCGGCGACTAACCCCGTCGCACCCCATTGCCGCGGACGATATGTACCCACCGCAACAGCCAACGCTACCGGCCACCGTCATCGTCATTGCTGTCATTACCGTTAACGTCGATCCCGTACCCGTTCTGCGAGACGACCGTCGTCATTGATAGTGGACCAATCATGAAGGACACCATCATCACTTGTTCAATTATTACATTTAACAGACCGTATTCTAACTCAAACTTTCTAGTTAAACAGTTTTAATTTTGGAAGAAAGCCGGTCCGAAATAGTTAAAGAAAGAATGATTAGAATTTATATTTAAGAATATAATTTAACATAGTGAAAATAACTAAAGCTATTCTTGCATTTTTAAAAGGAGAATAATTGATAATAAAATTTATTTCAGAAGTTCGACGATGGGACAGGAGGTAGAACGAGAATTCAAACAATGATTTTACCAGCTATCTCTACCTGTACATTCGTTACGAGAGCCGGAACATTTTCATCGAGCGGTTCAAAAGACCGCGAAACCCGATCGACCGATCAAAACCGCTACAATCGACATCTCCCGCCAACAATCCAACGGACAACAGACAATCCTATCACGATCCACCCTTTGCTCCGCTACGCCTACAAACCGTACGGCACGATCATTATAACGATTCCCGAGTTAAAAGCTGGAACGTTCCCGATCGAGTCGCATTTCTTTCTGAACACCGGATAAGCGTTCGACGGAAGAGAGAAAACGAGTCCCTCTGTGTGCGCGCGTAGCTGATTGATCACCACCCTCCCCTCCTTCTCTGGCAACCGACCGTATTCCTCTGTTCCCAAAGAACCGGCGAAAGCGACTGGTTCCTCCACGAGCCGACGGATAACGACTCGTACGCGTGCCATCCCCTTCGGTATTCTTGACAGACACCCGGAATCGAAGGGATGGGTCCAGGGAGAGCCGTTTCTCTCTAGAAGACTTTTCATACATTGCTCTTCAAAAGTTCAGATACTTACAGTAGATCGCAGTTTTTTATGCGCGACAGATCATTTGTAATTTCAATTTAGAAAACTAAATCTAAACAGAACTTTCATTTTTAATATTCTTTATCTCTTCGACTATTTTTATAATCCTCTTATACATATATATCATCATTTTTTAAATCTTAATGTAGATTTTATTTTCTAAACTTATCAGCATGCATAATAGTCCGCACTCTGAGCGTTACGTGATTAATATTGAAATGAAGATAAACGCACATCCAAACTTTTGAACGGCAATGTACATTTCTATCCGTGACATGGATTTTCCAGGGAGGGAAAAGGAGGCCATGGAATATCGATGCTCGCGAGGGTGAAAAGGATGTTTGGGAAGACGGGCGGATTCTTCGATAGAAGGAGAGGGAGGGGTGAGGCACAGGACCGAGGGTGGACAATACCGAGGCTCGCGTAATGGACCGATTACCCCTCCCAGCCGATCGTATTGACGAGACTTTGATTAGGGTCGAGTGGCCAGATCCGACGGGTAAGTACCGACCGGCTGCGCACCCTGATAAACCACCGCCGTACAAAGCGACTCCGTGTCTGGCCGAACGAGCATCCCCTTTGGTGCACGCCCGGAACGCGACCGCCACGGAGTCATTGCGCTTTTCATTCGCCGATACCGGGGACTCGGTCATTTGCTAATTGCGCGTTGGAACGAGAAGAGCTGCGCAGTCCGAACTAATCGTGGCTCTTGACATTTTTTTGTATATTTAGAGTGATTGTGTTAGATGAACTGTGTTTTAAATTTGTTCGACGAAGGAAGTAGTTAGTTAATTTAAAGTTAAGATGGTCCAGAAAAAACCTTATTATATAAATGGAATTGGTTTTTCTGATGATCACATTTAATATGATGTAGGTATCAGCATACATTTTTGATAAACAGACGAAGAATTTAATGTTCAATCATTCGATTTTCAATTATAAAATTTTTGTGTACTTACACTTGGTATGTTGTCGTTATTGCAAACGCCTTCTTGTAACAATCGATCGCGGATCTCCCAAGCGAAGATCGACGGGCATTCCCGTTTGTAGTCGGCAATTTTGTTAACTACCGGCGTGGTAGCCACGCGCGGTTTGCTACCACCGATTGCACGCGGTTTAATCGAACCGGTTTCGTAATACCTGAAAAAATAAAGAAGTTCCTCCATTAAAACCATTTCTGCAGTAACAAATTGATAATTGCATTCTGCAATTAAAATGGACACGAATGAAGTTTCAAAAGTAGCAAGATAACGTTTTTTATTGTAATATAAAGATTGGAGTATATGTGTAAGTAAACAGAACTCAGAGTTTAGATACAATTGTGTGCCTACAAAATCTACATAGATTATTAAAAATGTTCTTTTTCAGGTGCTTATAAATATGCTTAATTTAATTTCACGTGTATTTCTTAAATGATTTGGATATTTATATAACAAATATACATATGACATTGCACACATTTCTTTAGAGAAGAATGAGATTTTCCTTGGAAAACGAATAGAAATTCGCATAAATCACTTTGATCACTGACCTGCCGAGGATCTTAGAAACGCATCCGTTGCTGACTTGCAGTATTCGCGAAATGTCGCAGGGCCTGGCACCGCTGTGGGCGAGTTCGACAATTTTCTGCCTTGTGGAGTCTGGCAACGGTCGGCCATTCACGTAAACACCGCCGAGCTGGTTAACCCCGCTGTGTCCTGCAGCCGAGCACCCAAATATTGAGTTCTGTCCGACTATAGAACCCCCGCCAATACCTGCACCACCCCCGTGCATCAAGTCCTCCTCTGTGAATCAAAACGCGGCCAACGTGTATTCTGTCACTTAGCCAGGGTGTCTGGTTGGGTAAACATCGACTATACGTGTGCCCGGCCGTACACGGGTACGGACTACTGGATACCACGTTCTTATTAGTCTGATTGCATGCACTGTGCATGCAACCACCATCAGCAGTCATCTCGGGCACACACGCCGGTGACAAACCGTGGTGTCACCACGTTAACGGTTACCTCACATTATTTAAACATGAAGCTCAGACACACCTGCGTTCGTAAGCCTTAAGACGTATTGTAAATAGACTGCAGCTTTTTAGGTAAAATAAAACCGTGTAAAGAATCTGATTTATAATAAATAAACATTTCTTTTATCATGTCAGTTTTGTGATATCCATGCAACTTTTAATATACAGTATAGATGTTCTTTATATTTTCTGTACTTTCAATCTTCCTATAAGTGGATCGTATCTATATTCTAATTATAACACGTTTAGTGAAATCTTCTAAGGATGTGAATAAACATATGGAAAGTTATTTACATGAAAAATCAAAGGAAATTTTCTTATGTCTCTTTAGATCGCCGTTTTTTGTGTACTTGTAGAAAATATAAATTGATGATATTGCACATTGTAAAAACGAAAAAATATTTCTATATTTGGATTGCATTTTGTTAAATCTGTTTATAACACTTTGGTATAAGCCTAAAATTAGCTTAAAAATGTGAGATTGAAAATGTGAGATATGAAAGAGAGAGACAAAGTGTATATTCCTGCCTTCCCTTCTGTAATTAATGTACCCAGACGCGGTGGAATCATGGTTCAGGAAATTGTATAAAAAACATACTTCAATCATTGATGTGTTATGTCCATAATATTAATAGCACGATTATTCAATTGCGAGGGAATTTGGCGTGAAGTAATTGGATCGTTAATGCAAACAATAATTTATAATTTCAGTCAGTTTAAAGATTTGAGGCTCTCATTCAGTTTGTTGATTCGTAAGTCATTGAATAAACACGAATGTCGCGATTTTTATTTATCAACAGCGTATTCGAATGGGGAATAGGTTTGAAAAAAAGCCCCATTGTTAATTTTGTTACGCGACACACGGGTGCAATTGCAACGGTCTACAATCGCGGGAGACACACGGTTTCAAACACTAAAGAGTACACCGACAATATTTGCGTTGGTTAATCGATGGAAATAGCCGACAACCACAATTAACTCGTTTTTCGTTGACTCGTTCCGTGCAAAAATCAATAAACTTTTGTCAAATTTAACGACATAAATGGCTGCAAATAATCAGACTGCGCCACCGACAAACTGCGTGAATTTATCAAAACGTATTTTAAAAACCGGCGAAAACAAGAATTTAAAAATGTATTCTGCTCTCTCCATCGGCGGGTGGACAATACATATGTATTCCCAGAAATCAATAGGCCTTTGTCGAGCGTAAACATTGCAAATATTCAAATTGCTATATCCATGTGTCGTACGTATGTATTATACATTAAATACCAATTTATAAAAATTAATATACATGTTGGTAAGATTTCATTTTTAATTATTAATATATTGCAAAGCCTGATAGAACTGAATTCTGATTGACCAAAAAATAGAATATATCAGGCTCACCATGTAATTTTATACAGAGCATAATTTACTATGGCTGTTGCATGGTACAACTTTCACCCTGTATTTTTAAAACAATTTTATGTCATATTTTGTAGTAAACAGTGCCTTATAATATTTCAATCATTTCAATAATATTAGATCAAATATTTAATAAAATCGAGAATTATATAAATATCACATTTGGTGAAATTGTAGAGTTGTCATCTGACCACGGATCCGATTAATCTCGCGAGTCACAGCATTCAATTCTGAAGTGTAAAAAGGATTGTAAATAGAGAAACGTTGCTCTGCCATTGTGAACGCGGAACGCCACCCTCGAGGGACATTAACCTTCTCGCCGGGAAAGAATCAACTGTTTTACCGGGCACGAAGAAACACAACGGGGTCGGACGTGCAAAGTGGGTCTTTTGCTCTTTTGTCAGCGGGCTTTCTCTTAAATTTACGTGGTAACGCCGACAGCGTGTAAAGAATAAGGCCGGTATGAGCCCCCGCGCGGTCGTCTCGTCGGCCAGGAAAGGCTGCCCGCGCTAAATGCATCTTGCAATTAACGAATTTAATTAATCTACCGCTTTTGCAGCGCGCGGTAACGACAAGAAATAGTTGAAACGCAATTTGAATGGTCTGGCCGCGTCGCGTCGTCGCGTCGCTGAGCGGCGCCGTGCCGCGCCGTATGAAACCACTTTGTGCGGAACGTCGCGCGTTTTCATCATGCCTTTACCGAGAGCGCCGAGATTCCACGCGTTTTCGTTCTTATTTCACCCACAAAATGGACGCGTTTCCGCCTACGTGTCACTATCTGTTGCACGTATTTCATAAAATCTCATCGCACCACCATAGTAAAAAGTTCGAAATTTTATATTAATTATTATACGCAGATAGAATGCGGTTGTGACGTTACTATAACCACATGTAATGAGATTTTCCTTGGAAAACGAATAGAAATTCGCATAAATCACTTTGATCACTGACCTGCCGAGGATCTTAGAAACGCATCCGTTGCTGACTTGCAGTATTCGCGAAATGTCGCAGGGCCTGGCACCGCTGTGGGCGAGTTCGACAATTTTCTGCCTTGTGGAGTCTGGCAACGGTCGGCCATTCACGTAAACACCGCCGAGCTGGTTAACCCCGCTGTGTCCTGCAGCCGAGCACCCAAATATTGAGTTCTGTCCGACTATAGAACCCCCGCCAATACCTGCACCACCCCCGTGCATCAAGTCCTCCTCTGTGAATCAAAACGCGGCCAACGTGTATTCTGTCACTTAGCCAGGGTGTCTGGTTGGGTAAACATCGACTATACGTGTGCCCGGCCGTACACGGGTACGGACTACTGGATACCACGTTCTTATTAGTCTGATTGCATGCACTGTGCATGCAACCACCATCAGCAGTCATCTCGGGCACACACGCCGGTGACAAACCGTGGTGTCACCACGTTAACGGTTACCTCACATTATTTAAACATGAAGCTCAGACACACCTGCGTTCGTAAGCCTTAAGACGTATTGTAAATAGACTGCAGCTTTTTAGGTAAAATAAAACCGTGTAAAGAATCTGATTTATAATAAATAAACATTTCTTTCATCATTTCAGTTTTGTGATATCCATGCAACTTTTAATATACAGTATAGATGTTCTTTATATTTTCTGTACTTTCAATCTTCCTATAAGTGGATCGTATCTATATTCTAATTATAACACGTTTAGTGAAATCTTCTAAGGATGTGAATAAACATATGGAAAGTTATTTACATGAAAAATCAAAGGAAATTTTCTTATGTCTCTTTAGATCGCCGTTTTTTGTGTACTTGTAGAAAATATAAATTGATGATATTGCACATTGTAAAAACGAAAAAATATTTCTATATTTGGATTGCATTTTGTTAAATCTGTTTATAACACTTTGGTATAAGCCTAAAATTAGCTTAAAAGTGTGAGATTGGAAATGTGAGATATGAAAGAGAGAGACAAAGTGTATATTCCTGCCTTCCCTTCTGTAATTAATGTACCCAGACGCGGTGGAATCATGGTTCAGGAAATTGTATAAAAAACATACTTCAATCATTGATGTGTTATGTCCATAATATTAATAGCACGATTATTCAATTGCGAGGGAATTTGGCGTGAAGTAATTGGATCGTTAATGCAAACAATAATTTATAATTTCAGTCAGTTTAAAGATTTGAGGCTCTCATTCAGTTTGTTGATTCGTAAGTCATTGAATAAACACGAATGTCGCGATTTTTATTTATCAACAGCGTATTCGAATGGGGAATAGGTTTGAAAAAAAGCCCCATTGTTAATTTTGTTACGCGACACACGGGTGCAATTGCAACGGTCTACAATCGCGGGAGACACACGGTTTCAAACACTAAAGAGTACACCGACAATATTTGCGTTGGTTAATCGATGGAAATAGCCGACAACCACAATTAACTCGTTTTTCGTTGACTCGTTCCGTGCAAAAATCAATAAACTTTTGTCAAATTTAACGACATAAATGGCTGCAAATAATCAGACTGCGCCACCGACAAACTGCGTGAATTTATCAAAACGTATTTTAAAAACCGGCGAAAACAAGAATTTAAAAATGTATTCTGCTCTCTCCATCGGCGGGTGGACAATACATATGTATTCCCAGAAATCAATAGGCCTTTGTCGAGCGTAAACATTGCAAATATTCAAATTGCTATATCCATGTGTCGTACGTATGTATTATACATTAAATACCAATTTATAAAAATTAATATACATGTTGGTAAGATTTCATTTTTAATTATTAATATATTGCAAAGCCTGATAGAACTGAATTCTGATTGACCAAAAAATAGAATATATCAGGCTCACCATGTAATTTTATACAGAGCATAATTTACTATGGCTGTTGCATGGTACAACTTTCACCCTGTATTTTTAAAACAATTTTATGTCATATTTTGTAGTAAACAGTGCCTTATAATATTTCAATCATTTCAATAATATTAGATCAAATATTTAATAAAATCGAGAATTATATAAATATCACATTTGGTGAAATTGTAGAGTTGTCATCTGACCACGGATCCGATTAATCTCGCGAGTCACAGCATTCAATTCTGAAGTGTAAAAAGGATTGTAAATAGAGAAACGTTGCTCTGCCATTGTGAACGCGGAACGCCACCCTCGAGGGACATTAACCTTCTCGCCGGGAAAGAATCAACTGTTTTACCGGGCACGAAGAAACACAACGGGGTCGGACGTGCAAAGTGGGTCTTTTGCTCTTTTGTCAGCGGGCTTTCTCTTAAATTTACGTGGTAACGCCGACAGCGTGTAAAGAATAAGGCCGGTATGAGCCCCCGCGCGGTCGTCTCGTCGGCCAGGAAAGGCTGCCCGCGCTAAATGCATCTTGCAATTAACGAATTTAATTAATCTACCGCTTTTGCAGCGCGCGGTAACGACAAGAAATAGTTGAAACGCAATTTGAATGGTCTGGCCGCGTCGCGTCGTCGCGTCGCTGAGCGGCGCCGTGCCGCGCCGTATGAAACCACTTTGTGCGGAACGTCGCGCGTTTTCATCATGCCTTTACCGAGAGCGCCGAGATTCCACGCGTTTTCGTTCTTATTTCACCCACAAAATGGACGCGTTTCCGCCTACGTGTCACTATCTGTTGCACGTATTTCATAAAATCTCATCGCACCACCATAGTAAAAAGTTCGAAATTTTATATTAATTATTATACGCAGATAGAATGCGGTTGTGACGTTACTATAACCACATGTCGTCCGTAATTGAACGATCGACAAATAGAGTTACACAACAATCTTAAACGACTTGTCCAAGCAACTGACAACTCTCATACCGAACACAAAATTCAGAAGTGACATTCGCCGACGGCGAACCAATTGCCCTAATAAATCACGCGTACGTCAACATTTGCTTTATCAATCGTTACTACGGGACCCGGCGTATATGTACATACATATATGTATACTGCAGTTTTATTGAAGCGCCACAAGGTGAACGAGAACTCTGCATAAGAGATTAGGGAGACGGAGGTTCGCGGATAATGGAACGCTTTGGTGACGGCCGCCGTGAAGACGCAAAGTCCGTTCGATTACGCACACCGCGTAAATAAGACTGTAACGACACAACACAACGTTAAGACATTCTCCTTGATCCGATTAAAATGGTGACAGCTATCCTTCGAAAATTCCATCTGCGCGCGCCATGTTGGACACTCCATAAAAATTCATTCGACGGCTAGCCCAATAAATACTTTTGTAGCGGTCATAGATATTAGAACTCTTGCTATGTTAATACAATGTGATACGTTTGTTAAAGAATATTCAATACCACTGAAATTTAGCGAGTAAAAAATTATATCAAACAATATCTTATCTTACTACTGTACAGGGTGGTTCATCAAATATTAACACTTCGATTTTTGTCGTATTATTATACATCGTGAAGAACGTTTATGTATAATGTTGACTGGTTTCGAAAGAGACACATTCTGGTGTTTTAAGCTATTTGGTAGGTCGACGGGTAATAGAGACATGGAGGTGATCAACATTTTCTTAAACGGGGTTATATAGTTTTTCCTGCACCGATCGATGAAGCTTTATATTCTCTACAAAACAGTATAAATCTATTTATAATAATGACTGCAGAAATCATGAGACAGAACATTGTGCAGTATATTTACAAACGGAGGAGATTTTGGATGCATTGAAAATGTGGAAATACGGTATTGTACGTCTTCTTCTAAGGTAACGTCAGGATTGAATGCTAGTCTCGGAAAACGGCGATCTAATTGTAAGGCCCGTGCGCATAGTAGTCTCCTTTCATCCGAGCAGAGATTATCTCGCGGTGAACATGTTCTGCTTGTTACTAACAAGATGCCACTGTCTCACGCGATGTGCCCTAACGTTCGATAAATTGTTTAATTAAGAACACATTCTGCTTAAGCCCCTATTTCGAGTCAATCTACCTACGAGAATTATCGTTGATTCGTACGAGCTGAGTATTGGAAATTCCTATCGATTCTTCCACCCAGCACGT